TGTACAAGAAATAGCCATCAATAGTTATCAGATGACAATATGTGATAAAAGTGTCTCTTAGCTACGAGAAAAGAGGATCATCATTCGGTACTAGTTCGTAGAGTGGGTACAAATCTGCAGGGACTTGCCGTTTGAGTTACATAATAGTCTACACACCGGAGTGTCTTCACAATGCGTTATATGTTCGATAGTTCATACATTCATTGTGCAATCATGTTTGTGGTACAACGAATTAATAAACGTGATGTTGTGACTAGTATACGCACGCATAATAATTTTAGTTTCATTAGCTAAGAATTATACTAATACCATCAACCGAAATGGTTGCTAGTAATTATACAAACAATCACTGACATCCCGCTATCGAATTAGAGTCAATATTTCAAGCATTTAGAAGTTTGAATCAAGCGACTCTTATAACACACACAACTAATAACTCGTCTGTAAGAACACATATGTAGTTGCTGCTTAATAATATTTTTATCTAACCTACATATTATCTCAAACTGACATGTGTCGATTCCAAATTGACATAATTCCAACCTAACATATGTCGATTTAGAATCGACATAAATTCCAACCTGACATACAACATAAACTTTTGTACGATTTAATAGATGTTTAATTTTTGTTGAATGAAAAGGCTGTTGTAAAAGGTTAGTATGTACCTCTATATACTGTGAAAGACTTACGTCGAACGAAACAGTCGTTTCTGTAATGTTCGGTTTACTAGCAATCGTACCAATTGCTGTTACGTAAGTAAAATCATGAGGGATGGATGCTGGATCCAGAGAAATTTTTCTAGAGTGAGAGTAGGTGACATTAATAGCTTGTGCTGACGAATCCACGTCCCGTAGAATAGACATCTTTAGGAACCAACGAAGTGACATAACATGGATCTTCGGCATCGACTAGGATAAGTTGGATATAATACTTTCGTTTTCACTTGTTTTTGATTTAACGACTCCCATTCCGACTACAAATTCAGTCCGCAGTGTAGCTTGATAACTGATGACTTCTCCGATTGACCGAATTTCCAAAGACATGATGCTTTTGTAGATAGACAATTAAAAAGAAGTAAACTGAAAGGAAAGATAATAATAAGAAAAAAAGTTGAAGAGACTTTTGTTGTGATAAGGATTTTGGGATGTGGAATTTACAGAACGTGAATTTGATCGTTCAGGTAAAGTTTTATACATTCTATCAGAAGAGATATATAGCGCCTGTCCGTTTAATTAAATTTTGAGACATTTATTTGTGTTGTTAATAATTTGACTCTTTATTTCATACTTTTCTTTCTTATTGGTGCCTTTCTTGACAGATTGATAGGTTTACTATCGGCATAAACGATTTGTTGGTTATTTTTGGGTAAATGCAATTGATCAATGGACAATAAAAGTGGGCTTTCGTTTCGAATTGTGTGTCATGCGTTTACGATTTTCCCAAATAGCTAGCGTATACGATGGAACGTGAGATATTTGAAGGCTAAGTTTTTTTTTTTAATTTTAGTGTTAAATGATTATGTGTTTTATTGGTGGCTTACGCTGAGAGCACGTCTTTTCCGAACAGTTAGTAAGTTTAGTGTTGAATAGCAAGCCAAAGCCCGATTATTATTGGTGATTTGGGGAACAAACAGTTTGTGCACACGATGAAGACGTTCTTTTTTTTTTTTTTTTGATTTACAAAACAACAGCCGATACATTCGTGCTAGCTGACAAATCAATGACCTGTTTATTCTTTTGGGGTGGATGTAAAATCGACTGTATAAATTGATCGTGGGCGTGTAGTACAGTGGCCTATCAAAAGTCACGGGGCACCCCCAAAATTTACTAGTAAAGCATATGGAATGTCTTTCTTTTCAAAATCTCTCCGGTACATGTGTACTATACGAAGGATAATTTTTTTGCATAGTTCGGAAGCTAATTGATTGTGCTTTTCAAAAAATTAACAAAAAAGTTTTATATATTATTGTTATAAAGTAGTAGTAAGTTGAAGTAGCTGTCTTTAAATCACGATATGAAATCTATAATATATGTATAACACGTATACACACACTCCGTCAAGCTACTGATTTATAACAATAATATATAAAAATTTTTGGAAAAAAGCACAATCAATTAGCTTCCGAACCATACAAAAAACATATTATCCTTCGTATAGTACACATGTGCCGGAGAGATTTTTGAAAAAAAAAGACATTCCATATGCTTTACTAGTAAATTTTGGGGTGCCCCGTGACTTTTGATAGGCCACTGTACATGTCCGGGGTATGGCAATATGGGAAGATCATTGCCATCACTGGAACAAAGGAAACCTAAGCGTGAATACAGCGAGTCTTCATTATGCACTTCTTCTGTAAAGTCAAAGTTGCAACCACATCATTCTGTTGAAATGATGTTACTGAATCATCCTGTGAAATGGGGAAAGCAGTAGGCCACACAGACATTTCTGATGTATCATTTATTTGTAACAATCGGTTGGCAAGAGTAGAATAGCTGCGAAGATAGGGATTGTCCAATTTACTGCAGGTTGTAAAGAATTATAGATACCAACGGTTGTTATTCGACGGATTATCTAAGTTTTCAAGGAACGCTCCAAGCATTCCTGAATAAAGCGTTAGGGTTCTTAAATTTTTGGAAAAGCCCATTGTACCCACTATAGAACGATATTCAGTGTATGCATTAGCGTTCGTTGATCTACCCAGACTGAAATGGGAGAAAGATATTTTCTTTTTCCATAAGGTACATCATTAATTGCTTGAGGAATTTGGGCAAGGCGCGGAAATTGTAGTCTTATTGATGATAGTTTGCAGCAATGACAAGTCGGAAATTTGCTCACTGTATCAGGATGAGCGATGTCTTCTATTGAAATCGATTGATATAATTGGAACAAAACATACGTTGACAGATCTTCCTGTACAGCCCAGGTAGCCTTTTCTGGATATAGAAGTTGGCCACAGTATACGCAAGGAAGACAAGGGAATTGATTGTAGTGGTCATTGAATAGTTGAAGCTTTTTTTGAAGACGGCGAGAAGGTTTCCATGCAGGGATGGTATTAATAAACAATTGCTGATGAATATTATTTGGGAGATGTGCGAATTGAGTCAAAGCGACAGAA